CCCTCCCTCTACGACAGCATCATCCGCATCAAGAAGCTGCCCTACCTCCCTGAGCTGGGCTGGGGGCACCATGAGTGAGTGTCCCCACATCCCCAACCACAAGCGCTCTGTGGCAACGTGCTGAGGGCATTTCCCCGGGCAGGAAATACAACATGCGGGTGGAGGACATCATGGTGCGGGATGTCCCCTACGTCTCTCTCAACTGCAAGTACCGGGACCTGCAGCATGTGCTGCAGAGCACCAAGATGAAGAGCTTGGCACTGGTGGATTCAGCAGGTAAGAGGCACATGGAAGCTTCTCCATCTTTTCACAATGTCCCTGCAGCGCTGTTCCCTGCAACGTGTCCCCTCTCGGTCACAGAGTCCATGATCCTGCTGGGCTCCATTGAAAGGGCACAGGTGGGGGCCCTGCTGGGCCACCAGCTGCATCCCCAGCGCCGGCTCCAGGCCCTGCGGCAGAAGGCATGGGCGAGCGCTGATGACGGGCGCCGGTTTTCCGAAGCCAGCGTCTGCTTCCATGTGAGGGACCGCCCTCGGGTCCCCCCCATCAAGGTGTCTTTGCCTCCCTGACCCCATCCCTTCCCTCCCACAGATCAGCACTGAAGCTTCCTCCTTCACTCCCACACGCAGCGGATCCCGCAAGCCCCTAAAGCCAGCATTGAAGCGGGTGCCCAGCGTCCCTGCCGACGGCCCCCCAGGTGACTCAGCACCCCACAGCCCCCTTGGGAGCCCCCTTGGAAGCCCGCTGCCCCACGCTGACCCCTCTGCTTCCTGCAGCCAGTGCCACCGACAGCTCCAGCATCGCCCTCAAGAGCCTCTTCTGTGCCAACAGTGCTGCAGAGCCTGCTGAGGTGAGCACCCGTCCCTGCTTGTCCTCGACTACTCCCATCCCATGCCTCTCCATCCCTTCTCCAGGCCCTTCCTGTCCCTATTTAACCCTTACCATCCTGATCACCATCTCTCTCCCCTGCCTGACCCTGCCTGTCCCTTTCCATCCACGGTTGACCCTTTCCATCCCATCCC